ACATGTGTGCTGTGGACATACACACACATGCTAACAAACATACATGTGTGCTGTGGAATAATCCTCTTGTACACTGTGGTGATCTGTCACTCGGATTGGTTTAACAGCTAGGCAGAATTTTCAGGGCAGAGAGCATGCTGGGAAGAAGGGAAGAATTCGGAAAGTCAAGGGATTTGATAAACATGCCTTGCTGGCAGGTGCCGCCATGTGGCAGACAGTAGAAATGTGGGAAACTTTTAGGAAAAGAAAAACAAAGAAAGAAAAGGGCTGGAGAGATTGCTCAGAGGTTAAGAGCACTGACTGCTATTCCAGAGGTCTTGAGTTCAAATTCCAGCAACCACATGGTGGCTCACAAGCATCTGTAATGAGATTTGGTGCCCTCTTCTGGCCTGCAGGGATACCTGCAGACAGAACATTGTATACATAACATATAAATAAACCTTTAAAAAAAATATGGGTTAATTCAAGTTGTAGGGGCTAGTTAATAACAAGCCTAAACTATTATCTGAGCATTGATAGATAATAAGAAGTCTCTGTGTGGTTATTTGGGAGCAGACTGGCAGGACAGAGCTGACTGGCCCTGACAAAAAACTCTGCCCACACATGTGCACATACGACACAAATTTTACACTTAAAAAAAATAAAGCCTTGAGATAGATGTGTGCAAAATGAAGAAAAACTAAGATCTATATGCTTCTTTTTGGGTTAGGGCAAGACCGTGAGTTAAAAATTCAATCCATTCTCTGTTATGCTGCAAAATTTGAGCCAGTTTAATTTTTTCCTCATGCATTTTAAACCTTTCGTAGCAGGTGGTGGCGGCAGTAGCATTGCTCACCTTTAAGCCCAGCAGTTGGGAGACAGAGGCAGGTAGATCCTTGAGTCTGAGTCCAGCCTGGTCTACAAATCAGGTTCCAGGAAAGCTAGGGTTACAGAGAAACCCTGTCTCCAAAGTAAATAATAAAACGATAGCCTCTAGTACAATAAACTCACCAAGTACCCAGACATTAAAACTTCTTTGTTTTTCAAGACAGGATTTGTGTGTGTAGCCCTGGCTGTCCTGGAACTCACTTTATGGACCAGGATGGCCTCGAACTAGAGATCTCCTTGCCTCTGTCTCCCAAGTGCCAGAATAGAAGGCACACACCTCCACCTCCCAGCTGACACTAAAACTTTCAAAACATTTTAAATTAATTTGGCATTTTCTTAAAATCCCATCTAGGTGCTATTCTGAGAGGCAATGAACCCAGCATCAAAGATATAGCTAGCTGATTTTCATACACATTGGACCTTGCAGGTATCAAGACCTGTGGATATTTACATCTGTCATGTACTTTTTGTACAAGTCTACTCATCATGCACAATATAATGCATATCTCAATATGTGAGTCATGGTCTCATGTAGATTAGCCTGGCTTTGAACTTGCCAAATAGCAGATGGCTTTGAACTCTGTCTGTCCTTGAGAACTGGGAACACAGACTTGTGCCACCACAGGACATTTTTAAGATATGTGTGGGTGCTGAAAGCCAGAGAGCATCAGACCCCTTAGAGCTGAAGTTACATTTTCAAGTCATCCAATGTGAGTACTAAGTACTGAATTTGAGTCCTCTGGAGAGTACTAAGAGCTCTGAACCGTTATCTATTTGCCTAGAGACAACCTTTTTGACCTCCAGTTGAATTCCCCAATGTGGAATCCAAGGAATGTGGGTGGGGGTACATGAAAGCACACAATTTACAGGAAGTTGAGGCAGAAGGGTTAGTCTGAGGTCAATTTGTACTGAGTTCCTGTCTCAAAACCCAGAAGCCAAAGAGGGGCTGTGACTAAGGGCACTTGTTCTTGAAGACGACTGGGCTCCGGTCCCCGCACCCATGTGCACAACTAACTCTTCGGTTTCAGATTTGACACTCTTTTCTGACCCCCAGCGTCAGGCACACAGGTACTACACATTCGTATATTTCAACAAAACACTCATACACATAAATGTATCTACATAAAGTATTAATCATTGATCTTATACATTCTTTTTGTTGGATCAGAATTGATAAAGCCATGTGATCACAGATCAGGTGTATAATTTTAATCCCCTATAAACAAAGTAAGCATGTCAATTATAGAATAAGTATTTGAATCTACCAATTAGCTAAAATACTGCCAAGACCATTTTTACACAGGCCTCAAACTAATGGTCAGGGCTGGGATTACCCATCATGTCTTGCATACAATCTTCAGTCTTGAAATTTGCATATCACTTTCACTTAGTATTTCAAAGAGGAGAAAGGTAAGATCCAGTGTGTACATTCATGGCATGCCTATAAAGATCAGAGAACACTCCCAGGAGTCAGTTATTTCCATTTTTATATGTGGCATCTAGAGACTGAACTCAGGTCATTGGGCTTGCACAGCATATCCCTTTACCCACTAAACCACCTCACTGGCTCCTATGTCAAACATTACAAAAATTATTATTATTATTATTATTGGTTTTTTGAGACAAGGTTTCTCTGTATTGTTTTGGAGTCTGTCCTGGAACTCGCTCTGTAGACCAGGCTGGCCTTGAACTCACAGAGATCCGCCTGCCTCTGCCTCCCGAGTGCTGGGATTAAAGGTGTGCGCCACCAACACCCGGCCCGCAAAAATTATTTTTTGTGTGCATGTGCTTGTGCGCGCACACACGTGTGTATGTGTGCATGGAGATCAGAGCACAATCTGTAGGATTTGGTCTCACTTTTTACCAAGTGGATCCCACGGATCAAACTCAGGTTGCCAGGCTCAGTGGCAAGTGCCACCATGAAGCCATCTCACCAGTCCAGACCCTAAACTTAAGAATTTATGTACATAGTATTTTGCCACAGGCTTTTAACAAAAATTTCAATTTGGTTTTACCAACACTTGGGAGCAGGATGTGAAAGCCTGATGCCTCAAGAGGCAGAGAAAGCACCCAGCTGACCCTCCTCCTCCACCAACGTCCCAGAAAGACCTGGATCCTACAGTCTCAAACGAGACTCCTCTAACTCAGTCTCTCCCTTTTACTTCCCGGGCCAGCTTTCTCTCCATCCTCCTAACTCCCTTACTCTGATATTTTCTGTTCATTTCCTGTCAACTGGTTGCCTGCTCCACCACTTGACCTGTGGTTGACTTATCTAATCCTGTTTCATTACAAGTGTGTGTGATGGGGAAAAACCTTCTGTGTATATGTTGATAAATTAAAGCACTGTTGGCCAATAGGGAAGCAAGATAGGTGTGATTAGGAGTCGAGGAGTATTCTGGGAAATGTAGTCAAGAGTTGCCATGTGATCCAGGGAAGAGACGACGAGTCAGGATGCTGTCCTCGGAAAGTCCTTATAGAAATATATATTAGTAGTCATGGGTTAATACTTAAGACAGAACTAGCTAATGAGAAGGCCGACAGCAACAGTGTCTGTGTGTTATTTGGGGCTGATGAGGCTGCGGAAGTATGCTTGTTACATGTGTGCTGGGCTATTTCAATTTCAGAGGGGTATGGGAGCAGTGTTTTAGATGATTCTTTTGAGAAGGCATTAAGTCCATGTCATGGCAGTTAGGAGCACTGGCTGCTCTTCCAGAGGTCCTAATTCCCAGTGTCCATATGGCATCATCAAATCCATCTAAAATGGGATCTGATGCCCTGCTCTGGCATGCAGAGTACTCGCACATAAAATATATAAACAACTTCATCTTTAAGCCTGGACAAGATGGCACAGACCTTTAATCCTATCATTTGGTAGGCAGAGGCAGGCAGATAGCTGAGTTTGAGGCCAACCTTGTCTACAGAGCTAGACCCTGAAAAGCTAGAATCACGCAGAGAAAGGCCAAAAATAAATAATAAGATAAAATCTGCAAACAGGGCTGGAGAGATGGCTCTGAGGATGAAAATATGAACAATTACTATTCTTCCAAAGGATCCAACGTCAGTTCCTAGTGCCCACATGAGGTGGCTCACACCACCCTTACTCCAGTCTGTAACTGGGAACCCAACACCTCTGACCTCTTCAGGCACATGCATATACCGACATGCAGACACAGACACATACACAAAAATAAAGTTCAAAAAAATTTTAAACAGCAAACTAAAACCTAAGAATTCTTATTAAGTGTAATAATTATTTTGCTATCAAAACAGGTTTTTCTCTCGTTAAGACTTCTTGAGGCTGGCTATGGGGGTGTACCCTTTGATCCCATTACTTAGGAGACACAGGCAGGCAGATCCCTGTGAGTTGGAGACCAGCCCAGTCTACACAGCTGAGTTTCAGGAAAGCCAGGGTTATGTAGAGACCCTGTCTCAAAAACAAAACCTTGTAACATTTGACAAAGAAGTTACTGATTGGTGCTTCTAGACTACCCAAGTGAAAATCTAGTGAACACCTGAATTTCATTTCTGGAGAACGTAAGGTTACATAGTCTATTGATAACCTTTCAAAAAAGCATTAACAATAACAAGATCAGTGTGTTTTTGTTTTCCTGAGACAGGGTTCCCTGTGTAGCTCTGGCTGTTGTGGAACTCAACGATCTGACTGTCTTGAGTGATGGGACACCATGGGCTGGTAATACTCAATGTTTTTTGTTTTTTTGTTTTTTTTTTTCGAGACAGGGTTTCTCTGTATTGTCTTGGAGGCTGTCCTGGAACTCACTTTGTAGACCAGGCTAGTCTCGAACTCACAGAGATCCGCCTACCTCTGCCTCCTGAGTGCTGGGATTAAAGGCGTGTGCCACCAACACCCGGCTAAAACTCACTATTTTTCCTAGTAAGGCTGGTTGCAAGGAGTAAAACTACCGAGAATGAATTTTGGGTCCCATCCCATAAGGACTCTGTTGAAATACTGAGAGTTTATTTCATCCAAAGGGCACCACATAATGGAATCAAAGAAATTAAATGCACGTGCAATGCACACTCATTTCATGTTACTGACACCAGGAACTTAACAGACTGTGTTGAGCGCATAGTAGACCCTGAAACTTTGATTTGATAATCAGCAGAAAACTCCATTCCCACACTTACGTTTATTAAAAACTGACAAACAAACAAAACATGTACAAAAAATATTCCCCAGTTCCTTATCACTTTGAAAGAGTAATCTTGAAAGACATTATCGCCTAGGACCCCCTCTTCCTCTGCCGCGACCACGTCCTCTTCCTCTGCCTCGGCCTCGACCTCTTCCTGCAACTGGGGAAAAAGGAAAACAAAGCAGGTGAAATTCTCTTCAGCAGTCATAGTACCCAGCCACCACACAGGCCCCTGTGCCCTTTTCCTCCTCAGCCTATAAAGCCTGTCACTACCTCCCAACAAGTAGGAAGAAAAGAAACAGAAGGAATCAAAGGACACTGACACAGAAAGGCTTGAGATTTAGAAAAGCAGCAACATAAGGCGAGGGAAAGGTAAAATCAGTGTTTTAAAGCTATGCAGTAATTTCTAAGTAAAAAATAATAAGAAACTCAAGAGCATTTGTATTTTTATAACTAATTCCAGCAGGCTACAACACAAAGTGCATTTCCCGGTGGTGTAGGCAACAAACCAACAAGACCTCAAGGTCAACATATTAAACATCTCCCAAAGCAGACCCTGTGGTTTCAATGTGAAAGTCCTCCATAGACTCACATTGTATCCCTTGGTCTCCACTTGGTGGTACTGTCTGCCTTGGGGTTTTATTGCCTGGCTAAACATCCTGTTCACTTTCTGCTTCCTGATACAATGTGACAGGACAAGGGTCTGCTCCTGGAGTTCTGCTTTCTCCAGGCAATGAAATGTAACCCCTTGATATGAACCTTCCTAATGCTGCACCCTTTAATACAGTTCCTCATATTGTGGTGACCCCCAACCATAAAATCATTTCACTGCTACCTTATAACTGTGTTTTTGTTGCTGTTATGAATCATAATGTCAGTGTTTGTGTTTTCCAATGGTCTTAGATAACTCCTGTGACAGGGACATTCACCCACATATTGATAGCTTCAAAGGTAAACTAAACCTTTCTTGAAGCTGCTTGTTGGGTATTTTCTCACAGAAACAAGAAAAGTAGCTAATACAGCAGGGAACTGAAACCTCTCCATGAGAAAAACAGCTCTGGTATAGACTTCTAGATCTTGAAACTTTGAATCTGCCAAGTGAAGAGTCCAACTTACTTTGAAACACTGTGGAACAAGACTAAAAGCCCGGTTACTTAGGGGAACTGAGGAGGGTCACAAATTCAATGCTTGACTGGACAAATACTGCCCAGCCCCAGAATGTCCTTTCTAAGTATCTTTTAAAATAAACATATAGGGCCGGGCAGTGGTAGCGCACGCCTTTCATCCCAGCACTCAGGAGGCAGAGACAGGCGGATCTGTGTTTGAGGCCAGTCTGATCTATAGAGTTCCAGGACAGCCAGGGCTACACTGAGAACCCTGTGACAAACAGGAAGAGAAATGAGAGAAAGCAGGGCTAAGGATGCAGCTCAGCTGTAAAATGCCTACCCAGCACACACCAGTCCTCAGGTTTGACCACTAGCACCACACAAACCAGGATGGTGGACAACTATAATCCTAGCCCCTGGCAAGTGGGGGCAGGAATCAGTTCAAAGTTACTCTTGGCTATACAGCTGCTTTGAGATCAGCTTGAGCTACATGGGACCCTATCTCAAGACAAGGAAAAAGAAAGAAAAAAAAATCAGAGAAAACTAACAAATCAAAATACTAAAAACTTCTCAAAGAAAAATTGGGTAGGGCAGTTAAAATTGGGGTATATGGGAAAAGGAGAGATTCAGAAGGAGCTAATAAAGACACTGTGTATATGTACATGAAAATTTCAAATTACAAATAAACTGAACAAAATTAAAATCAATGGCAGGTGATGGTAGTACATGCCTTTGATCCCAGCACTCAGGAGGCAGAGACAGGCGATCTCTTTAGTTGGAGGCTAGTCTAGTCTACAGAGAGTTCCAGGACAGCCAGGGCTACACAGAAAAATCCTGTCTCCACACACTCCCCTGCCCCATGTGTGCCCCCAAGAGAAAAATACAATTACTAGTCAATCAACAATAAAAACCATGAGTGTGGCAGTCTGAAAGAACATGGCCCCCAAAGGAAGTAGCACTATTAGGAGGCGTGGCCTTGCTGTAGAAGGTGTGGTCTTGTTAGAAGTGTGTGACTGTGGAGGTGGGTGCTGAGATCTCATATGCTCAAGCCACGCCCGGTGAGACAGTTCCCTTCATGCTGCCTTCTGATCAAGACGGAGCCAGCACCACTTCTGCATGCACAATGCCACGTCCCACATGATAATGGACTACATTCAGAAAATGGAAGCCACCCCAATCAATGTGTTTCCTATGAGAGTTGTAGTAGTTCTCTTCACAGCAAGGGAGACCCTAAAACTGACAGCAACAGAATAGGATCTTACAAAAACTCAAAGGAGGCTTGAGAATAAAGTATGTGCTGACAGAGAGCAAGGTCACGGCTATTTCCCAGAAGCTAGAACAAAAAGGCAGAGACAAGATGAGAATAAATCAGCTAAAAGGCCCAGTTCCCATGAATTCCAAGACGAACAAAGGGCAGAAATCACCAAATGTCTTCTAAGCTGCATGAGCAAGAAAATTCACAATAAATTTTCACAAAACAAGAGAAAGGGAAGCTGCAGCCTCCAAATCTAGAATCCACTGAAGAAAGAACAGCAGAGAAGGCACAGCTCTTCTCCACAGCAACTCCAGGAGTGCTAGGCATCACATGCACTCATATGTATATAAGACGTTGCAGCCAGGCGTTGGAGACAGAGGCAGGTGGATCTCTGTGAGTTCGAGGCCAGCCTGGTCTACAGAGCGAGTTCCAGGACAGCCTCCATAACAACACAGAGAAACCCTGTCTCGAAAAGCCAAAAAGACATTGCAAGCAAGAATATGCCCTTGATGTTCACAGATGTATTTTGAACCATCAGTGAATTAAGATTTAAATACACTATATACAAAACACCTTCACACTTACCAGCTTCCCTTTTCTTAGATTTCACCTTGGGTTCAACATCCACAAGTAATGTATCCAGAGGTAAGCTGTCCGGTAGAATAAAATATCGGATGTTATTTCCTCGAATACTCAATGTTTCCAACTGTACAGGTTCTCTGTTCTTCAGGGTCATTTTCACAGCTTTAAGATGTGTATTCATGCTGACATCTACACCTAAAGGGAGAGAAAGCAGAACAATTACCAACACAATAAAGAAGGCAGCTGAAGGCCAGGCATTTGTGGCGAGCACCTTTAATCCCAGCACTCAAGAGGCAGAGGCAGATGAATCTCTGGTCTACAGAGCTATTTCCAAGACGGTTAGGGCTACACAGAGAAACCCTGTCTCGAAATAAAAACAAACAAAACACAAACTTTAAAGATTCTGTGTGTATTAATGAGAACGTACATGATTTTGTGTGTGTGTCTTGTTCAATTGTTCTCCGATTTTTGTATTTGTATGCATATGGGTAGGTGGGAAGGCAGGCACCTATGTGCTGTGATGCCTACACAACTCACAGGAGTCAGCTCTCTCTCTTCTCCTACAAGGACTCCGAGGAACAAACTCAAGTTGTCAGGCTTGGCAGCAGACACCTTTACCCACATGGCTGAGCTGGCACTCTCCACCTTGTGTTTTGAGACAGAGTCTCTCATAGAACTGGGATTACAAGAACATGAAGTACTCAACTTTTTTGGAAGCTGGGATCTGAACTCAGGTTCTCAAGCTTCAACAGTAAGCACTTTACCAACCAGGTCGTTTCTCTGATTCCTTGTCTTTAATCCTAACACTTGGGAAGCAGAGGCAGGCAGAGCTCTGAGTTCCAGGACAGCCAGAGCTGTAATATAGAGAAACCTTGACTCAGAAAACAAAAACAAGCAGGGGGATGGAGGGTGCGCAGGCCTTTACTCCCAGCACTCGGGAGGCAGAGGCAGCAGATCTGAGTTCAAGGCCAGCTTGGTCAACAGAGCGTGTTCCAGGACAGCATATTGCTATACAAGTTCCAGGGCTACACAGAAAAATCCTGTTTTGAGGATTGGGGGAGAAAAAACCTAAACAAACCCTTTCCTGTTCCTACGACAGTATCAGTGCATTCTGTCTCCTCCATCTCCTAGGGAAACTTATGTAGGAAAGTTGTAGCAGAGACTTATGTCTCCCCACCTCCATGACTGAGCACATGATTGTATGTGTGTATGTTCATGTAAGATACCAAATCTCAACAGTGATTGTCCACTAGAGAGAATGAGAGCTTCTTTATTAAATTTTGTTCTCCCAGTTCACTGAAACTTTCCTCCTGGGACATCCATTTACTAAGCACAGCACCTATTCTGTATTTGGTGAAACTTGTGGGTTTTTTTTTTTTTTTGGTATTACAGGTTTCATCTTTAGATTCTGACTTAAAAAAAAATTCCATTCTGGGGGTTGGGGATAGTTCAGCTGGTTTAGTATTTTCTTAGCATATATACAAGCCCTGGTTTCAAACCCTATTACCAAATAAGAGGTTTGGTAATGCACACTTGTAATCCCAGCACCCAGGAGCTAGTGGCAGGAAGACCAAAGGCCATCCTCAACCATACACAGTGAGTTTGAGACCAGTTCTAAACACTACCACAACAAAACCCACCCCAGCTCTTCCACAATGTCCAACAGTGTTCTACGTGGAGCAAACCAAATCCCTACTCAGGGCACTTTAACAAGGACAGCAACTGTACTTTCTTAAATATGGTGACAGACCATACAAAACTTAATAGGCAAGTACCATTCACAACTGGTACTACAAAGTTCTTAAACAGCCATAAAATGGTCCCATTTGTCTCCATGTTTACTAAAACACTGGGCCTACACAAGAATAGGAACACATATTAAGGCACTATTTTCTTTCTTTCAGCAATCACTTCTTCATATTTTTAAAATTATCTTTCGGAATGCCTATTAGGAAAGAAATTGTTCCAAAGCTCAGTGGGTAGCAAAAAATAAAGAATGGAACATGAATGAGGGATAGGTAGGAATAAGAAAGCAGTAGGAAACAGAAGAGGATAATGAAGGAAGATAAAAATACAGTATGTATAAAAATACCCTACTGAATCAATCAGACATATATGAAAAACAGACTAATATAACTATAGCCAAATACAGAATGCAAATGTAATAAAAGTACAAAGTTTCAAATGTGCTTTGGAAGAAGCAACATGCTATGCAGAGGAACACACAAGCAAAGGTATACAAGCTATGAAAACAAGAGCACCTGGCAGTCTGGTTTGACTGTAGCACAAGAATATAATATGAGGCTTAACTAAGGCTCATTCAGTAACTCAGACAAATGGAATCTCGAGGACCTTTACTGCAAGTAAACCAAACCCCTCTCCATCAGGTGAACCCAGGCAGAAAAACAAAGCCATTACAGAACAGCACAGCTCCTCACCTGTGATTGTTCCATGCACTTGTGTTCCATTCTTCAACTCAATGGTTACAGTTTCATGACTCAATTTCATCAAAAATCTATAAAACAAAAAGGCCTCAATTGTTACCTGTAACGTTTATACGTCTCTTTGGAAAGCTGGTATAGTGAAATTGTTGGAATCAAAATCTTCAAAATGCTACTGCAACAATTTGTATGGGGTCTAGACACTTGACCCAGCAGGTAGGAACTTGTGTTACTTTTGCAGAAAACTCAGTCTGAGACCCAGAACCCACACCAAAGCTCACAACCATTTGTACCTCCAGTCCTAGGGGGTCTGGGGCCCTCCTATTCGGACCTTCATACCAGGCAAGCAGTGGTGCACATACATACATGCAGATAAAAATACTCCTACACATAAGACTAACATCTTAACAATTCATATTAATAATATACAGCATGTTTAACTTTTCCTGAACTACACTCTCAAAGTTATAAATAAAGTAATAAACTGTCACTTGGCAGATGACTGTGTATCACAGGATGAAGAACTGTCTTGGGCAGCATATTCTAGGGGGTGTCCAACCTGCAGCCCGTGGGCTGTAAGAGTATTCAAATGTTTGACACAGTAATGTCATCTGCGAGTTCATGCTTCAGTTTGTGATTTTGTGTTGGGCCACATTCATAATTGCCCCGAGCTTTGGACTAGAAAACACTGGAAAGTATTAGAGAACAACTTCAAATGAAGACATTCAAGATCCTAGAGTAGTATCAGGGTGGTGGTGGGCATGCTTTTAATTCCAGCACTCTAGAGGCAAAGGCAGATGGGTCTCTATGAATTGGAGACCAGCCTGGTCTACACAGCAAGTGAGACAGTGTCTCAACAAACAACAAAAGGACCCTAGAGCCGGGCGGTGGTGGTACACGCCTTTAATCCCAGCACTCAGGAGGCAGAGGTAGGCGGATCTCTGTGAGTTCGAGGCCAGGCTGGACCAACAGCCTCCAAAACAATGCAGAGAAAACCTGTCTCGTAAAACCAAAAAAAAAAAAAAAAAGACCCTAGACTAATTTTAAACCACAAAAAGAAAGAATTGTCATTGGTAGCATTAAGATGGTAGGTCTGGGCAGTAGTGGTGCATGTCTTTAATCCCAGCACCCAGGAGGCAGAGGCAGGCAGGTCTCTGAGTTTGAGGCCAGCCTGGGCCACAGAGCAAGTTCCAGGACAGACTCCAAAGCTACACAGAGAAACCCTGTCTCAGAAAAACCCAAAAATATTATGTGGTAGAAATAAAGAATCGCTGGGGAGTGGTGGGTGACACATGCCTTTAATCCCAGCACTTGGGAGGCAGAGGCAGGCAGATCTCTATGAGTTCGAGGCCAGCCTGGTCTCCAAGAGCTAGTTCCAGGACAGCCTCCAAAGCCAGAGAAACCCTGTCCCGGAAAACAAAAACAAACAAATAAATGAAATAAGGAACCTCTCTTTTCTCTTCCTGCATTCTTGGTGAATAGGAATATTCTTCTAATCTGTAAACACATATGTAAGATCCAACTTCACACAAAATAAACCACTCTTACTTTATAGCGTCTATAACACTTAGAACTTATTTAGCAGTTTACACTGGAGAAGATTCCTTAAAAAAAAAATAAGAGCCAGATAGTAGTCCACTATATGGAAATGCCCATTATCCCATTGTGAATATTTTCAACTTTTTGCTATTACAAATTTATTTATGCAAGCACTTACCAATACCAATTATCAGCCTTCCAATTTTCCATCTATGTAAAAAAAGGTGTTGGGAAGGGGGGGCATAGCAAGACAGCTCAAAGGGTAAAGCACTTGCTGCCAAGCCTGATCCCCAGAACCAAATGATGGAGAGAATCGACTCCCCCTAGGGTCCTTTGCCTTTTGTATATACACAGTGACGCCAACCCTCCCCCCACACACAAATAATAAATTGTAATCTTTTTTTTCCCCTAGACAGGGTAATTCCAACACAACAACTGCATGCAATAACTGGACAGCAGTACCTAGCAAATACCTCATGTTCTGACTTTCTAGCCTTGGTTGTCCTGAAACTCAAAAGATCAGCCTGCCTTTGTCTCCCAAGTGCTAGGATTAGAGGCATGTGCTACCACCGTGATACTTGTAATCTTAAACAAACAAATATATCAACTGCAGGCAAAAGCACTTGATATATAGGCTGAGAACCTAAGTTATAATTTCTGGGACCTTGGTGGAAGGCAAAAACAAACTCCCCAAAATCGTCTTATAATGTCTACATGCACCTGTTGTGTACGCGAAAACACATGGTAATTATCTTCTAATGAGCATGGCTATGACAGAAGTATGCTTGTAATCCTAGCACTTGAGCAGTGGGGACAGAACACAGGAATCCAAGGATTAGCTAGAGTTTGAAACCAGACTGGCCAAATGAGACTTTCAAAAGGAAAGGGGTGGGGGAGGCTAGAGAGATGGCTCTGCAGCTGGTCAGGCGCACTTGCGGCTGCTTATCCCAGGACCCCAGTTTGCTTCCCGCACCGGCATGCCAGTTCACAACTGTCTAGCTATCAGACAGACATGTGGTACATATACACAAAATAAAACTTAACAATAGTAATTCTAAAACAGGAGGAAGGAGGAGGAAGAGGCAGTCGCAATTTGCCTGTGATTTTTCATGAATATAGAAAAACCCTTATTTCTTTTGTGAATTGCTTATACATTATTCATGCACTATCCATCAGTTTGAGTTTTTCTTTTATCATCCATCACTCATTAGAGTACAAACTCCAAGTGCATGCCACACCTTTTTCCTTTTCCTTAAAAAATATCATTTAAGCCAGGTGGCGTACACCTTTAGTCCCAGCACTCAGGAGGCAGAGGCAGGTGGATCTGTGAGTTTGAGGCCAGACTGCTCTACAAAGAGTGTTCTAGGACAGTCAGGGCCACACAGAAAAACCCTGTCTCAAAAAACAAATTTTTAATTTTCTGTGCAACATGTGTCCCTAGCACCTACAGATGCCAGAAGAGGTCCTAGGAATTGAACCTGGATCCTCTGGAAGAACAACCAGTGCTCATAACCTGAGTCATCTCTCCAGCCCCCTGGCTTTTTTCCCCCCTATTTGATTCTATAACGACCCTTTTGGAGCTCAGGCTTTAAAGTGACGTTTCCCACACCAGGACTGCAAAAACGTTCTCTTCTTTTACTTTTATATATTTAGACATGTAGCCCACCAGGAATTCTCCTCTTTCTTGTCTGTTCTAAGGCACAAATTGCCTTTGTAATTCTCCCCAGTTGTGCCAATGCATGACTCCTTCATTTCAGCTACTCTCCCTCTGCCCTAATTTATTATGATATACTGCAAATGAAGAAAATTAAAGGGGTCACAAATTATCAAAATGTTGCCATTTCTCCTTCTTTCTCCTCAGTATTTACAGTTTTACCTTGCCATCTAAAAGTAAGATGCTGTCATTAGTGAGGACATTCTGCCAAAGTAACCCTAACACAACAACTGCATGCAATAACTGGACAGCAGCACCTAGCAGACACGTCGTGTTCTGACTTTCTAGTCTGTCATTCACAATACCACAATTACATGCAGTGAAATAATGCTACAGCATCACCCATGTTTTATTTTAGCCAAATGGCCATGGAATGATAATCCTACAATAGCCTCTAACAACACTTCATATTCAGATTTTCTAGTCTATCTTTCTACAACATCCTTTGTAAACTATTACAGTACACTGCACAAGTAAAATTATCTGTTCATTCTCACCACCATTCTACTATGAAGGCAAGGACCTTTCTATAGGTAACACTGGACTACCACAAACACTGAGGGGCTGGATAGATGGCTCAGAGGTTAAGAGCACTGGTTGTTTTTTCAGAGGTTCTGAGTTCAAGTCCCAGCAACAACATGGTGGCTCATAACCATCTATAATGGGATCTGGTGCCCTATTCTGGCCTGCAGTGCAGCTGTACACGCAGGCAGAACACTGTGTACATAATAAATTAAGAAAAAAACAAAAACAAAAAAACACCTAGACAGGTCCAATGTCTCAGCAACTAAAGGAAACGCACCTTAAACACCACCTTAAAAAATTATGTTGCCAAGCATGGGGCAAAGATCTTTAATCTCAGCACTCAGGAAGCAGAAACTGTTTCAGAAAGAAGGGGGTGGGTAGGGAGATACAGTCTGCTAAAAAATCCCCTTAAGATATCTAGGCACAGATTTGTAATCTCAGTTATTCAGTAGGCTGAGGAAGGATGATCCCAAATCTGAAGTGAGCCTGGGGTATGGAGTGACTTCTAGACAACCTGGTGACATCCTGTCTCAATTTTTCATTTTGTGAATTCTCTTATTATTATTATTGCTGTTGAGACATTTTCTCTGTGTAGACCTGGCTGTCCCAAAACTAATCTGTAGATGAGGCTGGCCTCATTCAGAGATGCCCGTCTCTGCCTCCCAAATGCTTGGGACTCAAGGTATGTACCACTACACCTGGCTTCTAATTCTTTTTTTTTTCAAGACAGCATTTCTGGCTACCCTGGAACTCACTTGAACCCCGGTCTACCTGCCTCTGCCTCCTAAATGCTAAGATTAAAGGCATGCACCACCAATGCCCAGCTGGAATTCTCTTTTTATTGCAAGTGGGACATCAAATAGTCAGGTACATGGGGTCCTCTAAGTATCTAAATTCTCACTATTTGACCAGAAAACCAAATAGAACAGGACAGGGAGCAGTGTCTTCATTTAAAAAACAGGACAATTGGCAATTTGTCAGATGATAGGCAGATTAAGAGAAACGTAACCAGGAAAAGTCGCTTCCTGCGCTGGGGCAAAATGGCAATGGGATAAAGGACGATTACAGTCCCATTAATGCACAAATAAGAAAGCCCACTGAACCGGGCGGTGGTGGCGCACACCTTTAATCCCAGCACTCGGGGGCAGAGGCAGGCGGATCTCTGTGAGTTCGAGGCCAGGCTGGACCAACAGCCTCCAAAACAATACAGAGAAACCCTGAAAATGCAAACTAGTCAAACAGCCATGTTTATGAGGCAAAATATATTCTCCCGTAAGAAATGTCTTTATTGTGCACTACAAAAAACAGGATTCAGGACAAGCTATTTAAAAAATCCCATCAGCAGGAGGCGGTGGCAGTACACACCTTTAATCTCACACAGAGGCAGTCGACAAGCTTGAGGCAGCCTAGTCCACACACAGGGCAAGTTCCAGGACAGCTAAGACTACCCAGAGAAGCCCTGTCTCCAACGAGGGCGGGGTTCACATCAGTAACAGAGTGAGCACTTGCCTAGGATGTTGGCTGGAGGTCAAGGTAACCCACCATTACCACTACCCAAAAGCAAATTTATCGGAACAGAATGAGAAAAACCCAAGTTACTGCAAATACGTTATAGTTCACATCAGGCAGTACGGAAACAGAAGAGCTATAGCTCAAAGGTAGAGGGATTATTGGAAGCTCTCTAGGTGCTATCCCCAGAACAGGTGGAATTTTTAAAAAAGCAAAAACCTTATATTCCTTCTCTACCAGCTCCCCCTGAACAGAGTGTTGGACCAGAAGTAACCTATTTTGCCTTCATCATTAAACAGAAAAGAAATTTTGTAGCCAGGTGGTTGAGGATCATGCCTTTAATCCCAGCGCTGAGGCAGAGGCAGTGTTATCATAAATGCTCGTGGGGGGCCTTTGTGGATTCCATGGCAGGCGAAGGGACAAACATGCCAGGCAGACAGGACTTAAGTGAGAAGTTTTATTAGAAAAAGAAAGGAGGGAGGGGAGGGAAGGAAAGAGAAAAACCGTAGAGAGAGGGAGGGAGGGCAGAGGTCTTTCTTTTAAAGGGGTCCTTTGCACTTGGGCTGAACTGAGTGCATTCTGCCAGGTGACAGGGGCAGGCCTCCATGAGTTCGAGGCCTACGTGGCGAAGTGCAGGACAGCTAGGGCTGTTACACAGAGAAACCCTGTCTCGAAAACCCAAAAGGAAAAATCTCGTGAACTGTGTACAACTACTTTTAACATGACTACAAACAGTCCTTGACTCAACAAGAAACCAAATTATTTCTAATGGCTTGGGCATTATACCCTGTTTCAGGTTCTGCCTAATGCCTATTTAGTTTGGAAGTCATCATACCAGCAAAGCTCCACTAACCGACACAATCTGCAATCGGGCGAAATTAGCTTAACTTCTGCCCCATCCCGGGACACTGTCGTGAATCGGAAGCCAACACGAGATGAGTTACACATAACCGCTCCAAAATAAAGGAGAACTTAATCTAAAACGTCTAGCAAATCGGCGTCGTTATCTGCAGATAAAACCCATACGGGTTTTGAGTTCTCGTCCGTGCGAGCAGCCCGACTCGCCAGGGAAAGCGGCCTCCGCTCCGATCAAGGCGCGGGATACGAGGCGAGCCGAAACGGCTCGGCTCCCCCATTCCTGGAGGTCGCGCGGGGGCCGGGGCGCGCCGGTTCCTCGCCGGCAGCAACGAGAAGGGCGCGGCGGGCCGGAACGCGGGGGCCGTTAGCAGGCCGCGCGCACGCGGCTTTCCCGCCTCCCTGCGAGCACAGAGGCCCGGCTTCCCGAGCCCGCCCAAACCCTGTCCCCGCCGCCTTCGGTCCGCCGGGGGAGCCTCCTCACCTCACGAGCTTCATCCTAGCGGCGCAGCCTCCCTCTCGTCCTACTGGGCACGGAATTCGAGCTCCAAAGGCTCACCGACTAGGCGTATGAATGGCCGGAAGAGCGCGCGGAGGCCTGCGGATGCGCGGTGAACACGCGGAAGCCGCGCTGCCTTCCGGCCGCCGGGAGAACCACAGCGGCCCCTAGCGACGGGAGGAGTGCTTTGCGCCGTCTGAACGCCTGCGTGATGGCTGGTGGAACGAGAATCTGCAGGATTCTCGTTAAAACAATTTATAATGGCCTGAAGCTTTCACACTTGGAAGGAAGAGAAGATCTGAGAGAATCCCTCCAAGACTTGTTTGATCCTTCAGACCCACGTGTTGGAAGCAGAGAACTCAGTCCCGCCCGCAAGTTTCTTCTAGTTGGTTTGACAACTTAACCTGAGCCAATCAGGTCTTAAGGGCATGATAGTTTACCTTTGGGGATCTGAATTGTAATAACCCCAGAGCTACTGAGCACCTTTTTAAAAAACACGAAAGCCATTCTCAGGACAGAGTTTTAAATAAGTCCCTAATTATATAGTAAGTTCTTCAACTTAAAAAAAATTATGTCAATATTTCAGTCGGTGTTAAAATAAAACAATTCAACTCCTTATTTGCAATAACCACATTGTAACTACTCAAAATCTATATGTATCTCTGGTTACAGTGCAGATAATTTCCACCATCACAAGAAGACTGGATAATATTAGTTTGTTATATTTGATTCTTACATGGAGCACAAATTCTTTTTTTTTTTTTTAGTTTTTCGAGACAAGGTTTCTCTGTGGCTTTGGAGGCTGTCCTGGAACTAGCTCTTGTAGACCAGGCTGGTCTCGAACTCATAAAGGTCCACCTGTCTCTGCCTCCCGAGTGCTGGGATTAAAGGAGTGCGCCACCAACGCCCGGCTCAAATTCCAATTGTTCTTACTAATAAAAACTCAGAGTCAGCAGTCAAGGGGTGAAAGCTGAGGGGTCAGAGAAACAGAGCAGCCAGCCACTAGAGTCCTCACCTCTACCAATGTTCAGACCAAAGGGGCGATCCTCTCCTCAGACTGTCTCCTCATACCCTTATATTCCTCTCTCCGCCCAGCCACACCACTCTGGTCTCTACCTGCCTACCGTTGGGATTAAAGGCTCATGACTTTCAAGTATTGGAAGTAAATGTGTGAGCCACCACCGCCTGGTTCTTTTTCTCTTTTAGACTGGATCAATCTCGTGTAGCCCAGGGTGGCCTTGAACTCACAGAGATCTGCTTGTCTCTGCCTCCTGAGTGCTGGGATTAAAGCTTTGTGCCACCACTGCTTGGCACCTGTGGCTAACTGGTGTGGCTAGCTCTGCACTCTGATCTTCAGGCAAACTAGATTTGTTAGATCACAAACAAACTATCACCCCACTTACAATTGTTTATTTACTTATACTGAACTCAGGAGAATATAGTATCTGAAAGCAAAAATAGTAAGTAAATAAATAAATAATAAATCTGTTTATTGCATTTGCCAACATCCAGTGTCTCCAGTATTATGCTTTGATATAATGTGCTCTTCTCTTCTTCTTCTTCTTCTTCTTCTTCTTCTTCTTCTTCTTCTTCTTCTTCTTCTTCCTCTTCTTCCTCTTCTTCCTCTTCTTCTTCACAAAACAGCCCAATACCAGTGTGTAGGAACTGGTCCCAAGGGCCTATGAGACTGAAGAAGGAGGCAGGCAAGCCCAGAATTGCAGTGTGCAGTTTATAGGTGACGTACAACACAAGCATGAGCCTGGGCATCAAGAAATCCACCTAGGTCCTTGAGATTTGGGTTAGAATGTAAGTGGGGTTATAAAATAGGGCAAACGTTTGTTCAGCGCTAGACATGGTGGGTGCAAGTTTGAGGCCATCATGTACCATTCGAGTAGACTCTATCTCTAACCTTCCATCCCCCTAAAAAGTGATTTCACCCAAGTCAGGCTATATGTGATCCATATCAAGCTAACATCAGATCAGAATCAGGCCCATTCTTAGGCCAAGGCTAGCCATAAAGCTTCACACACTCGGGCCAGGCGTTGGTGGCACACGCCTTTAATCCCAGCACTTGGGAGGCAGAGGCAGGCGGATCTCTGTGAGTTCGAGGCCAGCCTGGTCTACAAGAGCTAGTTCCAGGACAGCCTCCAAAGCCATAGAGAAACCCTGTCTCGAAAAACCAAAAAAAAAAAAAAAAAAAAAAAAAAAAGGGGGGGAGGAAAAGAGGAGGTCTGTGTTAGAATGGGCTTGGATGCAGTGGTAAAGGAGATGGGGGACAAGGACAAGGGAGAAGGGGAATCAGACAATGGAAAAGGGGAAGGGACATTTGTCCTGGAGGGACAAAGGTCTGACTGTAGTTAGAGAGGAGACACATAGGCTGTCCAAGTCACACAGCTGCCACCTGCATTCCAAGGGCCTACTACTACTACTACTACTACTCCTCTTCTGGCCGTCCAGAGTCAGTGAGCTCCCGCCAGCTCAGGTCAGCTGTTTCTGTGGCTTTCTCCATGCTTGTCTTGACCCCTTTGTTCATATTATCATTCCTAGCTCTTTATGACTGGACTCTAGGAGCTCAGCCCAGTGCTTAGCTGTGGATCTCTGCATCTGCTTCCATCAGTTGCTGGATAAAAGTTCTATGATAATTAAAGTAGTGATCAATCTGATTAGAGGGGAAGGCCACTGATGCTTAGGGTCTTAGCTGGGATTGTCCTTGCGTATTCCTGAGAAATTCCCTAGTACCAGCTTTCTCGATAATCCCATAATGGTGCCCTCAATCAGGATATCTCTTTTCTTGCTCTCTTCTCTGTCCTTCCCCCATCTCAACCATCTCACTCCCTGCCTTATGTTCTCCTCCTCACTCTCCTTCTCCCTTCCCCTTCTTTCCTCCCTTCTCTCCCTCCACCCCAAGCTCCCAATTTTCTCAGGAGCTCTTGTCTATTTCCCTTTCCTAGGTGGATCCATGTATGTCTCTCTTAGGGTCCTCTTTGTTACCTGGCTTCTCTGGGGTCATGGACTATAAGCTGGTTGTCCTATTGCTTTACATCTAACATCCACTTATGAGGGAGTACATACCATGTTTGTCTTTCTGGGTCTATGTTACCTCACTCAGGATATTTTTTTTTCTAGTTCCATTCATTTGCCTACAAATTTCAAGATGTCATTGTTTTCTTTTAACCACTGAGTAGTACTCCATTTTCTCAGGATATTTTTTTTCTAGTTCCATTCATTTGCCTACAAATTTCAAGATGTCATTGTTTTCTTTTAACCACTGAGTAGTACTCCATTTTCTTCATCCATTCTTTAGCTGAGGGACATCTAGGTTGTTTCCAGGTTCTGGCTATTACTAATAATGCTGCTATGAACATAGTTGAGCAAATATCCCTGTGGTATGGGTGTACATCCTCTGGGTATATATGCCCAAGAGTGGTATTGCTGGGTCTTGAGATAGACTTATTCCCAATTTTTTGAGAAGCCACCATACTGATTTCCAAAGTGGCTGTACAAGCTTGCACTCCCACCAGCAATGGAAAAGTGTTCCCCCTACTCAACATCTTCTCCAGCATAAGCTGTCATCAGAGTTTTTGATCTTGGCCATTTGACAGGTACAATATGGTATCTTTGAGTCATTTTGATTTGCATTTCCCTGATGGCTCAGGATGTTGAGTAATTCCTTAATTGTCTTTTAGCCATTTCAGATTTTTCTGTTGAGAATTCTGTTTAGATATGTACCCCATTTTTTAATTGGATTATTTGGTATCTTGGTGTCTAGTTTCTTGAGTTCTTTTTATTTTGGAGATCAGCCCTCTGTCAGATGTGGGGTGAGTTAAGATCTTTTCCCATTCTGTGGGCTGCCGTTTTGTCTTGTTGACCGTGTCCTTTGCTTTACAGAAGCTTCTCAGTTTATTAATTGTTGCTCTCAGTGTCTGTGCTTCTGGTGTTATATTTAGGAGTGGTCTCCTGTGCCAATGCACTCAAGGCTACTTCCCATTTTATGAGGCTTAGTGTGGTTATGTTGAGGTCTTTGATCCATTTAGACTTGAGTTTTGTGCATGGCTATAGATATGGATCTGTCTGCATTCTTCTACATGTTGACCTCCAGCTATGCCAGCACCATTTGTTAAAGATGCTTTCTTTTTTCCATTGTATAACTTTAGTTTCTTTGTAAAATATCAAGTGTTCATAGGTGTGTGGATTAATGGGTCTTTAATTCAATTCCATTGGTCCCTGTCTGTTTTTATGTCAATACAAACTGTTTTCATTACTATAGCTCTATAATAGAGCTTGAAGTCATGGATGGTGATGCTTCCAGAAGTTCATTTTTTTTGTACAGAATTGTTTTAGCTATCTTGGGTATTTTGTTTTTCCATATGAAGTTGAGTATTGTCTTTTCAAGGTCTGTGAAGAATTGTGTTGGGATTTTGATGGGGATTGTATCGAATCTGTAGATTGCTTTTTGGTAAGATTGAAGCAAATGGCTGTTTATGGAGGTAAAGGAAGGAATCCCATGTTAGGATGAGGTGTTTAATTTCTTTCTTTTTTTTCTTTTTTGGTTTTTCAAGACAGGGTTTCTCTATACTGTTTTGGAGGCTGTCCTGGAACTCACTTTGTAGACAAGGCTGGCCTCGAACTCCCAGCGATCCACCTGCCTCTGCCTCCTGAGTGCTGGGATGAGGTGTTTAATTTCAATTGGGCATGTTAATTAGATGAACCAAAGGGAGATTCTGATTGCTGGACCTTGGTAGTCAGCCTCAGAAGGAGGAAGTGGCCAAATAAGGGACTGG